GAGGGGTAGCACCAAATATGTCTGTAATAATTAAATAAACATGCTTTGGATCAGTGGCAGAAACATTTTATAACAGGCATGGCCAATCTTCTGCCCTCCAGGCATTTTGGACTTCAACTCCCATCATTCCTAACAACCTACTGAAGTTTGCCCATACCTGGTTTATAGTAATGGCACTCTGTGTTTTCCTATTTGCAGGGAGCAGTGAATCTCAAGGAAATGGGCACATCGCTGCATGTGGTTGAGCCAAGCACAAAGCAACCAGGTCAACAGACTATGTTCTGGCAAGTGATGCAAGAAGAGGATGGGGACACGGATTCCTTGGGTATGGATTGCTTCCAAACAGCCCCACTATCAGGTGACACCATGCCTGAGTGGCCACTTCTGAGGATTAGGAAAAGAAAAGCATTTGAACAGCCTTGTTCTGATCTATTAATCTGTCTTTGCTATTGTTGTTGTGTGCATTCAAGTAATTTCTGGCTTGTGGTGAACCTGTCACAGGATTGTCTTATCAGGATTTCTTCAGAGGGGGATGTCTTTGCCTCCCTCTGGGGTTGAGAGTATGTTACTTTCCCAAGTTCACCCAGTGAGTTTCCTTAATTAAAAACCCTAAAATCCAGAGTTTTAGTCCAAATGCTTAAATTACACTGGCTCTCAGTAATCATCTCTGATTGCCAAGTAGCTCTCCAGTTTCTCACGTTGAGGGAGATTTCATATACAATCGTCTCTCCACATTTGCAGTTTTGACTTTTATGAACTTGATTATTCAAATATTCTCTTAAGCCTTGAAAATAAGATCTAACCAGAAAATAAGCCCTGGCACAGTTTTTCAGCATGCTCCTAATGTAAGCCCTACCCCAAAAATAAGCCCCAGTAAAGATCGTCAGCCAGCCAGACCCAGTTACCGGCAGCACATCTGTTGACACACACAATGGACGTATTGCAATATAAAATAATAGTATTAATATATAATTAATATATAATTAAATATAAATAAATAGTATCATTCACATTGATACTTAAATGATTTAAGGAGAGCTTTGTTGTTGGACATGAGAGATTGGGGCCAATGGTTCTACAGGAAATGGAGTCGCAAGAAATTCAGGCCAGAATTCAGGGTTTTGGGAATGATGACGATGTTCCAGAATAATAATCATCATCATTGTCGTCATCATCATCATCATCATCTTTATTTATACCCCGCCCCATCTCCCAACAAGGAACTCAAAGCAGCTTACAGTCATAAAAACACAGTAGATAAACATAAAACAAAATGAGTAACATATCAAATTATTATACAAAACAAAATGAACATTTATTGTTAAGAGATTTTAGGTCGGGGTGCTCTAGGTTAGTGTGTTCTAGACCAGAAGTCTCTAGGTTTGAAGGTTCTAAGTTAGAAGACCCTGAAAGAATGAAAAGACTGTATTTGAGTAAATGTGGATTGTTTTACATGAAACATCCCCTGAAAATAACACTGTGTAACAAAATTTGAAAAAAAATACGTTTCTTGTGTTGTCAAAGGCTTTCATGGTCAGAATCTCTAGGTTGCTGTGAGTTTTCCAGGCTTTATGGCCATGTTTCAAAAGCATTCTCTCCTGATGTTTTTCCCACATGTTCTCCTGACGTTTTGGACCTCACAACCTCTGAAGATGCCTGCATAGATGTGGGTGAAAAGTCAAGAGAGAATGCTTCTGGAACATGGCCATGCAGCCTGGAAAATTCACAGCCACCCATTTCTGTTCCTGGTTTGAAAGCGTTGTTTTCTGTTTAATTCTGCAGTACTTACTTTGAAAGTAGTTGCTATATTCCAGAAACTTTGTTTTTGTGGCTTCCACCAACTATGTTGAATTGCTTGAGAATCTATGAGATATTCATTGAAAAAACTATAGCAAAATGTGCTGCAAGATATCCTACAAAAAGAAAGTTTTTGCAGCTTAATAATTTTTTCCAAGTTTTTATGATAAGACCAATTAGGAAGTGACATTTATAACCCAGGAACAAAAATTGTGTTGCATAGTGTAATCCCTAATGCATCTTTTGGAGCAAAATTTAATGGAAGACCCAGTCTTACTTTATATCAGTGGTCCCCAACCATTTTTTGACCAGGGACCACTTTGACCAGAGACCACTCTCCAACATTAATATCAAAAGGGTTACGAATCAGTTTTTGGTCAACTTTAGATTCGATTTAGTTATTTGGGATGCTGATTCAGAAAATTGCATTGGATCGACCCCATCAGCTCTAGTTTCTGATACAGAACATATGCCATCCAGTAGTCGCCATCTGCTCACTCACAGAAAGCCATATTTAATAATCCAGAGCTGATGTTTTAGTAGTAATCTTTCGTGGTAGTCAAACTCTTCCCCTCCCAACATCCCCGTTGCCTTGTCACTATAAGAGGGTGTTGCAAAACCAGTCACTCTCGTTGCTGTGTCATTTTGAGGCAACTGTGTAGTAATGGTGAGGCCGTGGACCACATTGTCATTCTTGCGGTCCACTGAATTCGTTTGATGAGCATGTGATTTGTTTGTGTGTGAAAGATACTAACTAATGCTGCTTGTATTGGAAATAATGATGTCTCTTTCTATCTGTTCCCCAATGAAGAGGGGCTTTTAGTTCCCAAGGCTGACCTCGCTCTCCATCCAGCAGAAGAAGAAGAGGAAGAAGAAGAGGCGGAGGAGCAGATGTTCATCCAGTTCCCTATAGAAAGTGAACATCTTCCAGGCCAAGATTTAGGTGAAGTGATGAAAGAATCTAATTGTGTAGAATAAATGCAGCAGCAAAACATATCTTCTTCAGGCATATGTTTGGCGAGTGGGCTTATTAACAAAACACCTTCCTCAAAGCTCCAACAGACAAGAGTTCTTTCCCCCACCCTGGTCATTCCACAGATATATAAACCCACTTTCCTAGTTCCACTAGACCTCACTATCTCTGAGGATGCTTGCCATAGATGCAGGCGAAACGTCAAGAGAAAATGCCTCTAGAACATGGCCATATAAGCCCGAAAAAACCTACAACAACCCACCCTCCTCATAAATGCAAAGCAGAGTAACTTAGTAGCAGCAGTGTGACTCAGTACCAATAGCCCTAAGTGATAAAAAGAACAAAAACACACAGACCAAAGATATATCTTCCATAGGAAGCTTTTCTTTATGGCAAAATAATATGATTGCACTATTTACAAAAACAAGGTTTCCATAACATGAACAAAGCTCTTTATACTTCCTTCTTTGCTTCCTCACTGGGCTTCTTCTGCATGCAGATAAACAGCTTCGCTCTCACAGAGCCTCTTCTCACACCGAAGAGACACAGGAGCTTCATGGAGTAGCTTTTTACACACAGCGGCTTTTTACACTGGAGCTTCCCTCAGACGATGGCCCTCAACTTGGGGCTGCTCTCACCAAAGCTTCTCACATCGGGCTTTCTCTCAATGAGGTCTATTAACACTGAGGCTTCCCTCACACTGAGGCCTTTCTCCCACTGAGGCTTACTTCACACTGAGGCTCTCTCAGACTGACACCTCTCATACACTGAGGCGAACTAACACCGAGGCCTACTCATATTGAGGCCTACTAACACACTGAAGCCCTTCTCCCACAGAGACTTGTCACAGAGGGCTACTAAGCTACAGGCACAACTGCTTATATTGAACAGCTTTTGCTGTGTCAGAGGTATCAGTCTGTTGGAAAGAAAGAGAGAAAGAGAGGCAAACAGACAAAGAGAGCAGTGGGTGAAGGGCTTTCCTTGCCAGTTAACTCATTTGCCTATCTATTTCCTTGATAATTATATGCTTGTGCAGGATGTGGCTTGAGTTCCAACAGCTGGGACCTAGACAAATTTTCCTTTCTCTGTCTCTCCAGGTGAGCAGAAGGGCAGTCGGATCAAGATGGAGGCCTCCCAGGGGGGTGCGACAGGGACGTTGACAGGACTATCTCAATGGCACATCCCCGCAACGACCGCAGCCATTTGTGAGCAAAGACGTGAGTCCAGAGGGCAAGAGGGGAAGAAGCTGGTGGTGGGAGAGCATGAAGCCAGGGGTCTTTTGGGAGGCCTAGCTGCTGCCCGAAGTGAGACCGCTGCCTTGCAGTCCCGGGCAGAGAAACTCTTGGGCTCCAGATACAGCAGCAGGCGGTATCCCTACAAACCGGGACTTGTTATGACGTATGCTGGGCAGGACCACTCTGACATCCTGATGTGGGCTGGGGCCATCCATCAGAAAGAGAAGCCAATGGAGGAGAAAGGCTTTGAATGCCCCGGTTGTGGGAAGTACTTCAGCCAGAGGCACAACCTGCGGCGGCACCAGAGGATCCACACGGGAGAGAAGCCACATGTGTGTCCGGACTGTGGGCGAAGCTTCACCAGGCCCGATGGCTTGATCAGCCATCAAAGGAAGCATTTCCACGTGAAACCTTTTGAGTGCCCCGAGTGTGGGAAAAGCTTCAGCTACAAATGCAACCTGGCCAAGCATCAGAGGATCCATGTCAGGGAAGTTGTCCTCTGAGAAGTGCACGTCCTCTAGGAAGAGAAAAACTTGTTGGTAGTAAATGTCATTGTGTTAGGAAATGGTATGCCGGCCTTGCTTGTACTCAGGGCTGGTTTGCGTTTTGGAAATCACAAATCGTTGGTGCTCTGTCTCACAAGAAAGAAGGCACGGAAATTCTTTGGTGTTGCTCTGGAAGTTCTTGCTGTTCCTGGATGTCACAAAACAATCACCAGCCAAGATTCCTATTCATCTCAATGAGACTTAGAGTTAAGAGGTTTGGGATAGAACTATAAGTAGAAATCATGGCTTCTCTTCTGACTTCAGCTTTCAGTGACATTTTATACATATCTAGCAGTGGTCTACCTAACCCATAATTATCCCAAACTCATTTTTGGGTCATCCTGCTTAGGATCTTTGGCATAAAAACCAAATGTCTTGCCACTAAATAATGTACTCTTTTGGGAATGCTTTGATTGTGTATTTCTGCATAGCAAAGGATTGGACTGGATGGCCCTTGGGGCTCTTCCAACTCTGTGCTTTTCTGAATTATGCATAGATAAACGTAAAGGTTTCTCCTGATATTTAGTCATTTCCGACTCTGGCGGGTGATGCTCATCTCTATTTCTAAGCCGAAGGGCCAGCGTTGTCCATAGACACCTCCAAAGTCATGTGGCCTGTCAAGCTAAGGCGCAACTTGACAGAAGCAAATGCTAGATACACCAGATACAGCTCTGTAAAATCATGGACTCTGGAGACGCCAGGTTACAAGGAAAACTCAGTTTACTAAGCACATCTAAAAAACGCGTCCATTTACAGCGAGCGACAGGATAACACAGAGGAAACTGAAAGTCAAAACAGTTCTTTGCAGCTGCTTAGCTCTTCTGCTCCAAACGGTTAACTCCCTAAATTTTCTCAGCAGCATAGAGCTTATCTTAAGGTCACTCAATCACAGCCTCAACATAAACATTTCAGCTTAGCATTACATTCTAAGTGGCATCCATATTGGCAATACAAGAATTACATTTAAAACACACAATATACCTCAATACATCCTGACATGGCCAGCATGACTTCATGGAGCTCCGTTACCTTCTTGCAGAGGCAGTACCTATGGATCTACTCACATTTGCATGTTTTCAAACTGTTCAGTTGGCAGAAACTGGACCTAACAGGAGGAGCTCACCCCGCTCCCCGGATTTGAACTGCCAGCCTTTCAGTCAGCAAGTTCAGCAGTACAGCGGTTTAACCCGCAGCACCACCAGGGGCCTCACATACTTACATACATACTTAAGAATTATGCATACTTACTCTTTAAGTATAGAAGCCGTAAAGGCTTAGGAAAGCAGTCATGAAGGAATTACGAGGGTTATTCGGAAAGTAAGGTTACAAGTTTTTTTAAAAAAATACAAAGAATGAATATATTTTAATAAAATGTACATGGATTGTAGCATAGGTATTACATTATTTTTCCACATAATCACCATTCAGTTCAATACATTTTGTCATCTGCGGGACGAGTTTTTGATGCCTGTGTCATAGAAGTTTCCCTCTGCCTTTTTCAATCAGTCCGTCACTTCGATTTTCACCTCATCGTTGTCAGAAAAGTGTTTTCCACCCAGGTGTTCCTTCAATTTAATGAACAGATGATAGTCACTGGGTGCGAGATTGGGGCTGTGAGAGGGGTGGCTTTAAACATCCCAACCCGATAAAGTCAACAACTCTTGTGTTGCATGAGTGGTGTGCAGGCGTGCATTGTCTTGAAGGAGACAGACTCCCGCCATCAGCATCCCACGACATTTGTTTTGGATGGCTTCCGTACCCATTTTGTCACATGCTGTCTTGACATTATGTCCTCTCCATAAACTGAAACGATTTTGTGATGAGTCGCAGCAACGTTCATCCCCTTAGCATTTAAGTAGCGTATTACAGTGGTAAACTTTTTACTTGGAGGGAAACGGAATGAGAATGCTCACCTCTAACTTTCACCACAACTCAGTCAATGAGCTACTGACGACTGGCACTGCTCGTTCGCTTCTACTGGCTTCCCGTTACACGGCAGTGATACCAACTCCCCCCGTGAGAGCTACATGCTTTTTAACCTTACTTTCCAGATAACCCTCGTAAATAAGGTCCTCAAGTCTAAAGACGCATCATTAAACAATAGAATTGTGCAGGTTGAGCACCACTAATCCAGATATCTGAAATCTTCTCATATGAAGAAAAGGAAATATAGAGTGGAGAGAGAACTTGTAGTTATTCTCCACCTTTCCACCTCCCAAAACAATCTATGGAGGCATACAAGAATCCCTATAGAGCAGAACCCACAAAAATATCAAGTATGGGAGGAACGCTATTCACAGAGTCTGTAGTCTGACATGGTGGTTGTTGGATGGTCCATCATTTCTGTGTTCTCAAATCAATATAACAACTACCATGTCAGATTATACAGAGAATCCATTGAAATCCACAAGCATGTGGACAATTTCAACTGAAAAGACGAAACCCTGAAAATGAATGAAATCTGGCTGGTATTTTAAAAACTCCAAAATCAGGACAGCCAATAAAGAGCAACACCCAAAAAGGTCAATAAAGTCAAAGAAGAGCAACACCCAAAAAGGAATTCCAGATAAGAATCAATCAGGGCCAACTAACACCTCAAAACAAAGGATTCCCCCAGGCAGCAATCAGCCAGGCTTTGAAATTGCAAGGCAATTCAATGATAAGTTCTTGTGGGTATTTTCGGGCTATAGTAGTGGGACCTCACTACCTCTGAGGATGCTTGCCATAGATGCAGGCGAAACGTCAGGAGAAATGCCTCTAGAACATGGCTCTATAGCCCGAAAAAACCCACAAGAACCTAGTGATTCCAGCCATGAAAGCCTTCGACAATACAAATTCAATGATAATCAAAGTGGACAGTTTCAACATTGACACTTGCCTCAAACAAACAAGAGTTCTTTCTCCTGCCCTGGACATTACACAGATATATCAATCTCACTTGCTTAGTTTGCAACAGACCTCACAACTTCTGAGGATGCCTGCCATAGATGTAGGCGAACGTCAGGAGAGAATGCTTCTGGAACATGACCATACAGCCTGGAAAACTCACAGCAACTTAATGATTCTGGCCATGAAAGCCTTCGACAACACAATAAATAATAATTTAGTCAAATATAAAGGGTATTACAGAGGGTTAGGGATATGGGCACAAAAAGTTCCAATAAAGCTACTTCATTTGTAGAAAGGATTTTATTCTAATGACATTTAAAGGCCTTAAGTGGTATTTAGACCTAATTGTTTCAAGATATGTATCCCAGTCACATCCTATCTTTCTTATGATGATAAACAACTATAGCGCTTTTAAAATGTTGCAACAAACAATGGTAGGAAATATTTTCAAATGTTGTACCTGATTTTAATTACTACTTCTACCTTGGGCAACTGACATGCTCTCAGTTCTAAAAGACCCTGTTTACTTTAGGGTTGCCATCAGTCGGAAATGCTTGAAGGCACACAACAACAACAACAACAACAACAACAACAACAACAACAAGGAAAGCGCTTATGTCTTAAAAGTATCCTTCCAAGTCTTAACATTTGGACTGGAAGAAGATTTCATGGTGGAATTTGATGTAATGCAGTGTTTCTCAACTTTCCTAATGCCATGTCCACTTGATACAGTTCCTCATGTTGTGGTGATCCCCAACTATAAAATTATTCTCGTTGCTACTTTACTTCTGTCATTTTGTGGCTGAAACTTCAGGAGAGAATGCTTCTGGAACATGGCTATACACTGCGGAAAACTCACAGCAACCCTTCTTAATGCTGCGACCTATTAATACAGTTCCTCATGTGGTGACCCGCAACCATAACATTGTTTTCGTTGCTACTTCATAACTGTAATTTTGCTACTGTTATGAATCGTAATGTGCAGGATATATTTTTATTCACAGGACCAAATCTGGTACAAATACCCAATACAACCAAATTTGAATACTGGTGGGGTTGTGGGGAGGGGTTGATTTTGGGAGTTGTAGTTGCTGGGATTTATAGTTCACCTACAATCAAGGAGCATTCTGAACTCCACCAGCGATGGAATTGAACCAAACTTGCCACACAGAACTCTCATCGCCAACAGAAAATACTGGAAGGGTTGGTGGGCATTTTTTTTGTTGTGGCAGGAGCAACTTGAGAAACTGCAAGTCGCTTCTGGTGTGAGAGAATTGGCCGTCTGCAAGGACGTTGCCCAGGGGACGCCCGGATGATTTGATGTCTTTATCATCCTTGTGGGAGGCTTCTCTCATCTCCCCGCATGAGGAGCTGGAGCTGATAGAGGGAGCTCATCCGCCTCTCCCCAGATTCGAACCTGCAACCTGTCAATCTTCAGTCCTGCCGGCACACGGGTTTAACCCACTGCACCACTGGGTGTTTTGGAGTTGTAGTTTACCTACATCCAGAGATCACTGTGTACTCAAACAATGATGGATCTGGACCAAACTTGGCACGAATATTCAATATGCCCAAATGTGAACACTCGTGGAGTTTGGGAAAAATAGATTTTGATGTTTGAGAGTTGTAGTTGCTGGGATTTATAGTTCACCTACAATCAAAGAGCATTCTGAACCCCACCAATGAGAGAATTGGGCCAAACTTCCCATACAGAACCCTCATGACCAACAGAAAATACTGTGTTTTCTGATGGTCTTTGGTGACCCCTCTGACACCCCCTCGTGACCCCTCTAGCCATCCTGACTCCCAGGTTGAAAAACACTGATGTAATGCATAATAAAATAATTGTTCCTAGGAATGTGGTGTACCAAAGCAAATCATGGGACACGATCACAGAGATAGGATGGGAATGCTGAGTCTTAGCAGCATTATTCAAGCTCAGTTTGAGAAGGCGAGAGGGCAGGAAACCAATTACAAGAGTCTGGAGAGAAAAGAAAGAAAGCAAAGCAAAGACGTGGCAAGAGCAGAGACAAACATTCTTCTCTGTGTCTCTTCAGGTGGTGAGACGAAGAGTCGGATCAAGACGGAGAACCCCCAGCAGGGCAAAGCTGGGACTTTAGTAGGATTATGTCGGTGGAACAATCCTTCAAACGCAACTGTTCAAGAGCAGAGATGTGAGTCCGAAGGGCAGGCGGGGAAGAGGATGGAGGTAGAAGAGGATGAAGACAGGGAAACAGCAGAAAGCCTTACAACAGCTTGTAGCAAAGCCTCCACCCTTCTTTTTGGGGCAGAAAAGCCCACAAACACCCCATCCAATGACAATTACAACTTTGGGTTTGTAATGGCACCGCCTGCAGAAGAGCCTCCACAATGGGAGGCAAACGTCCAACCCATAAATGTTCATCGCAGATGCCCAAGAAGCCCAAGAAGGGAGAAACCTTTTGAATGTCCCAGCTGCGAGAAATGCTTCTGGCAGAAAGAAAATCTAATGCGCCACCTGAAAATGCACACTGGAGAGAAAGAATATAAATATCCTCAAGGAGGGAAGGCTTTTCATCAGCAGGAGAATTTGTTGAGACGAATCGGGGCTGGAAACGGACTCTGTGAATGCCCCGAGTGTGGGAAAAGCTTCCCGTCCAGAGGGACATTAATACGACATGTGCGAATCCATACTGGAGAACGGCCCTTCGAATGCTTGCAGTGTGGCCAGTCCTTCACCCAGAGAGGGCATCTGATGCGACACCAGAGGATCCACACGGGAGAGAAGCCCCACACCTGTCCTGAATGCGATAAGAGCTTCTCCCGGAGCGACGAGTTGATCCGTCACCAAAGGACTCATGAACGAGACATGTATCATAATCGTGCCATCTGCGGAAAAGACTTTAGCCACAACGCCACGCTGGTCAGCCACCAGTGAAGCCATGATGGACATTAACTCTCGCCACAACTAATATTAACTCTCCAAGAGACACTAAAATGATCCAGATCACATCCACAGAAACACTGGAGTTTGAGCGAGAAAAGAAATAGAGCTGGCTCTCCGTATCCATTGATGATTTCTGTTTTATTGAGTCTGAGTTGATGTTTTTATATGCGTCTGTGTTTTATTTTATTGTGTTTTATATTGTACTTCATTTTTATGTTTGATTTTAGGCACTTTGTGCCCTGAGTCCCTTTGGGGAGATGGTGGCAGGATATGAGAATAAAGTTATTATTGTAGAATCACTGGGTTTCATGGGTTGTTGTAAGTTTTTCGGGCTGTATGGCCATGTTCCGGACCAGGTTGTGGTGCGGCTGGTTGGGAGTCAGCTGCATCAAAAATCACTACTGACTGAAAAGTCATGAGTTCAAAGCCAACCCGGGCCACCATTGTCTAGTTTGCTGTCGACCTTTGCAATCCAAAATACAGTTCCATCTGTCAAGTAGGAAATTTAGGTACCGCTAATGTGGGGAGGCTAATTTAACTAATTTACGACACCATAAAATCCT